CTTAAGAAAACAGTGAACCGTGGCTGATTTAAACTTTGAGATCTTATAAAATTGATAATTTTTTATAGGTATCAACACATTTCCATATTTATTATCTTTGAGCATAATATTTTTCCCTTTTATCCATTTATTATTTTTTAATTTCTTTTGGGGGGGTTGCATCTAACACTTCTTGATGTATAATGCAGTGAGTATGATGAGTCTTGGATCTGTCATAAATTTCACTTTGTTTTTTTTGTTTTTTTTGCAGTAATGCCTCGAAACCATCCTTGTTTCCAGTCACTGAAGGAGCTCCATCTGTAGCTACAAAAGTTAGCTTTGAGAGAGGTAGACTGTATTTTTTTTTGCAGAAGTTTAAAAACATGATTAAATGTATCTTGTCCTATACTAGTGTTATGCATTGGTACTAGTTCCAATCATTCCTCAAAAGTGTTGAAATCTTTATTTCATATCGCAAGCATGAAGAAACACAGCTGAGCTACGCCTCCAATGTCTGCACTCTCATCACAGGCGATGGAAAAAGCTTCGAAACCAGATGATTTTGGTTTGATCTGGATACTTAAATTGTCGGCCAACTCAGTAACTCTTCCCCCAACTGTATTTTGAGACAAAGAGATTGTTTGAAAAGACCTCCCATTTCCAGGACAAACAATTTCTGCAGCTTTAATTAGACATTCCTCGATGAAACCACGTCAGTAAAAGGTTTCGAGTGTTTAGCTATCAGCTCCGACAAGACGGAGCTTGCCTGCACCGCGGCTTTGCTCTTGTGATACTGGAGTAACCATGCCCTGCTGTGTATTCAGTCCCAGCTCCAGCTCTTTCAACTTTTCTTGTCTCGTTAATCCCTCACAATGATCATATTTAATTTATGTTATAACTTTGGTACACTAATAGCATTATTCCATATCAAGCAGATTATTTTATTTTTACTTCACAGCAAATATACTCCTATTCCCACTTTTCTTGGAAATTTCAAAGTTTGTCAGCAATTTTTTGTTTATTTTTACTACCACTTGATTTTGCTAGACACATGCTGAATGCCAAGGGCTAAAATAAACGAGTCATCGTTAACATAAAGTAATAGAACATTTTAATAAAAATTAATATTTTCCCTTGCACATTAACTTACCAGACTCTGAATACCTGCATAAATTAATAGCATCACACAAATAAACCTATTTTTCTTGTTCTCCGAAAGCGAAATATTTCCTGTTGCGTACACCAAACAAGTCAGTTCAAGACTAATGATGTGGCAATTGGCTGCTAAAATATTCGCTGCTAATATTAGTGGAGAGAATTTGTGCACCTGCGTGTAAGGCGTGTAAGGGAAATGAATGCAACATGATTATACTAATCAGTCATTAGCGTCAATGTAGTTTGTTATTAATAACGAGTGGCCTGGTATGCAGAATCGTGTACATTGAAAGGAAATTAAGTAGAAGAAATCTTTTAATATCGCTATTCATCCTTTCTCTATAATAGAAGTGTCAGAGATGAAAGAAAGTTAGCAAAATGTATATAAAAATAATATGTAACTTGATTAATAAATAAACAATAACAACATGATATAACAACAACATAGACGTGATATAAAAACAACATTGATAAAAACAATGACTGATCAATTGATTAAACTTATTCTAATATTTCCCTGTATACCACATTAAGAGTGAAAACACTTTTCGCCGAAACCGGTTTGGCTCAGTGGGTAGAGCATAGGTCTGCGGACTGGGGGGTCCCAGGTTCGATTCCTGTCAAGGGCATGTGTATTGGTTGTGGGCACATCCTGGGTGGGGGGTGTGCAGGAGACAGCTGGTCAATGATTCTCTCTCATCGATGTTTCTAACTCTCTATATCTCTCTCTTCCTCTCTGTAAAAAATCAATATATATATATATATATATATATATATATATTAATATATATATCTATATATATTTTTTTAAAGAGTGAAAACACTTTCAGAGTGCTTGACTAATTTCCCTTGTGACGAAGTATTTACAACTTTAACTTTAACATTACATGCTTTTTGAACTCGAGAGAAAGCAACATATAACTGACCATGTCCGAAACGATTCAGGTAGGAATAGTCCTACCCTGTCTAGGGTTTGTCCTTGTGATTTATTAATAGTCATAGCAAATGCTGGCATCCTGGGAAACTGTCTTCCAATTGATTTAAATGGGAGGCCAGTGTCAGATGAGGACAAATCAATTCTTGGAATCAGAACAACCTCTCCTTCCACAGATCCTGTTAATGCTTCAGCTTTGATAATGTTAGGTTGCAGTCTTTTTTATAACAAATCTAGTGCCATTACAAAGACCTCATTTACTATTAAGATTTCTCAGTAGCATGATGATTGCACCCACTTTCAATTTCGGGCATTCCCGAAGGAGTAATACTATTAAGAAATTTGATGGGAAATTTTTCCTTTTCAGAATTATCTGTTGAGTCAACGGAACCATCATTTTCTGGACAAAGAATCATATATTTAGATATATTTTTAATATTATCTATAGATACACTATTTAGCTTCAATAATAGATATGTTACAAATAATTTCACGGGGGATTTCAATAATATGCATTCTGAGAGCTTTATATGTATCGTGCATGCGCCATTCAATGCTTATTTTTAAATTGCTAGTGCACATCATACGTACCAGCCAGCCAGTTAGTCAGACGGTCAGGCCAATGGACGGTCAGTCACTTAGCCTTCTATATATACAGATCATGTATAACAGGATATTATAAAAATTAAATTACAAAATTTTTATTAAAACGTTTCTTACATACTGTTGTAGGGAGTGGTTATAAGGTAAAGCCTCAGACTGACTTGCTGGCAAAGCTGCAAACAAGTCTCAGCTTAGAAGGCATAGCCCTCTTAGCATAAGTAAGCTTGATCTTGTGACTGCTCCCTAGATCTTCCTGGGTAGCTAATGGGCTGTGGGAGGTGCAGCAAATGCTGCCAGAACAAGTGAAACTCACAAGAACATTGTAACTATGGTGACCACTACCTTGTTTACCTCTGACTATAAAATAAAGTCTCAGCCAGGCACAGAAAATCCACCTAGATTCAGCTTATTCTTTTTGTCTTTTCTTCATCCTTCTCCGGCCCTCCCTCAGGCTCCCAGAACCCTTGGCTGTGCTGGCGCGGCACATACTGTTATATTGGCTGGGCCGCAAAATTATTCATTGTGGATCATAGGTGGCCCGCGGGCTGCAAGCCTGACATGCTTGCTTTACACCATTATTTTTGTAGTGACTTGTTGAACAGTAAAAAGTCCTCTGTGGTCCCCTCATCCTGGTATTCATTTAACTCTATAACTCTATAGTCTCTTCTCACACTGAGTAGGGCTGACCTGTCCCAAGGGGCTAAGGAAGAAATGACAGTCACTTTTGAGGCTAAGTGATAAAGACGTTGTGGTTTCCATCTTGCTCCCGCCTAGAGCACTCATCCTGGAGGAAACCAGCCATAGATGACAGGGACTCCAGGAGACTGTGCAAAGAGGTTAGACATGAGTCCTAGCCCTCTATACTAGTTTCCTATTGCTGCTGTAACAAGTTACCACAAGCTTGGTGACTTAAAATAGCATGAACTTACTATTTTACAGCTTTAAGTTCAGAAGTCTGACAGGGGTCTCACCGGGCTAAGACCAAGATGTCAACAGTTCCTTTCTGGAGAATTGAGGGGAGAATCCATTTCTTTGCCATTTCCTGCTTCTGGAAGTCACCTGTATTCCTCAGCCCATTATCCCATTCCTCCATCTTCAAAGCCAGCAACATTGCATCTCACTGTGCCTTTCTTCCGTAGTCACACCTCCCTCCGACTCTTGTTCTGCATCCCTTTTCACTTTAAAGAACCCTTGTGATTACATTGTACCCCAGGATAATCTCTTTGTTTTAAAATCAGCATTTTAGTTACCTTAATTCCATCTTTCACCTTCATTCCCATTTACTATGTAACCTACATATTCACAGGTCCCAGGGATCAGGACATGGGTGTTTGTGGTGGCTGTCCCTCTGCCAACCATGCTGTCTGGAAGCAGAGGCGTGGGCCTGAGGAGCAGCAGCCAGGAAAAGGAGGAGGGCCAGCAGGAGAGGGACATGTCACAGAAGCCAAAGGAAGAGAGCGTTTCCAAGAAGGAGTGCACTACAGTGACTAATGCTGTTGGGAGGTCAAGCCTGACAAGAACTGAAAAAAATTATCCATTGGATTTACTGTCCTGATGACACCAGCCGTGAGTTGGGGTAGTTCTGGGGTCAAGAGCTAGTTTATGGTGTCCTGGGCAGCAAGGAAGAAGTGAATAAGTCGAGGCTGAGAGTGTAAAATCCTCCCAAAAAACTTGATTGTAAAAGAAAATTCGCTGCTGTTTCTAAAATAGGAAAGAGAAGCACAGTTCAGTGCAGATGAGAAGGAAGTAGAGGGATGGCAGCGATGGGTATAAATGCGGCATCTGTGAAGGGGAGTTCCGCTAGCCCACCGACAACCTCGAAAGGAGGGACTGTTGGATTGACCTGAGCTCAGGGTTAGCCAGGCGAGCCTCACTACACCATAGAACAGAGGTTAGGTTACCTTCAAGGGTGTGGTGAGGTGATAACTGGGAATTTAAGGAGAGAAGAAGAGAGACCGGCCGGCAGGCGGCGCTGGTGAGGCAGGGAGGGATTGCTGAGCAAACTAAGGATATTACTGTCCTAACAGTATCTGAAATAATTTTAGGGAAAATGCTTGGTTCTTGATCGGATCGCACTACTCGCTGGATTTCCTGGTCCCGCTGGTCTCTAGGTCCTGGATGTCCCAATGCTTAGAACAGGGCTTGTCACAGAGTAACCGCTAGAGACCGTTAACTGTAATTGATGTACGTGTGCACTTTTTAAAACTTCGGGACTACATTTCCCTTGAGGCATTGCGGCCGCTTGGACTACAACTCCTAGAATGCCCGGCGGGCCGTCTAGTCCATAAGGACCTTTCATCTGGTTTTCCAGTCCCAGCATTCCTTGTGTTTTCCTAACTCGCCAGCAAGCCTATCCGGTCCTTGGAAGATCCAATTGGATCCGGGAGTGCGCGCCCGGCCGGCCCCGCGCGGGCGGGCGGGAGGTGTGGCCGCAGCGCGCCCCGCCCCTGCTCCGTGGCGGTTGCTTTCCGCGGGCGCCGGAGCGGGACACGGAGACATGGGCTCTACCTGGCGCCGCCCCGGCTGGGCGCGGCTGGCGCTCTGCCTCGCGGGCCTGGCGCTCTCCCTCTACGCGCTGCACGTGAAGGCGGCGCGCGCCCGGGACCGGGACTACCGCGCGCTCTGCGACGTGGGCACCGCCATCAGCTGCTCGCGCGTCTTCTCCTCCAGGTGCGCGTGGGAGCCGGAGGCTCGGGGCGCCGGGCTGTTCGTGGGAGCGGTGCACCGGGGCCAGATGTGCATGGCGGCCAGGTTGCCAGATGGCTCTGGAGTCTGGGATTGTTGTGCCAGGAATCAGATGCTTGGGGACCGGCTGCTCCAGGGGACACTGCCCAGCGAATCGGGTGTGTCCGAGATAGGGATGAGGGGCGGGATGGTGGGGAGGGGGGAGATATTGCTGGGGACTATGGTTATTCCTGGAGTAGTGGATCTGGATCCCAAGGAATAACGGTGACGCGGGAGGAGGGGGAGGTAATGTGTAGGGACCCATGCTTGTCATGAGGATGGCCGTGCCTGGGGGTAAGGTGGCAGGTTTGGCTATGCTTGAGGACCTGGGGTTAGTGGGATGACCGAATACAGAGGGGGCAACGGGCGGCCAGGGCGCTGGAGAATTAGGGTCCAGGTCAGAGAGATCCTACCCCGGATTCCCAGTCTCTGGTAACTCTGTAAAGCAGGTCAACTGTCTATCTCACCATGCCATCTTACGAATTATTGAAGGTCTAGGTAGGATGAAAGAGGGGCCTAAGGGGGAACCTTGGCCAGGCCTGGCCTGGGGTGGGGGGAAGATAGGAGCAAACACATGGACTCCTGACGTGGCCAAGGGAAGCTTCCCCAGGAGGTCATCGGCCTTTGGCCTCAAGCTGGGTAGGGGAATGGGGACATAGAGAAGGACAGCGCAGGTGGCTTCTATTTTTTTTTTTTTAAGTATATATATTTATTTAAATTGGTTTCGGAGAGGAAGGGATGGAGACAGATACAGAAACATGAACGACGAGAGAGAATCATGGATCGGCTGCGTGCTGGGGGTGAGCTCACAATCTGGGAAGTGCCCAGACCAGGAATTACAGGTCTGAGCTCAGCCACTGAGCCACACCAGCCGGGTCGGGTGGCTTCTTGGAAATCACCCCCCCAGGACGGGGCCCAGGGCACTGGGTTGACGACACTCCTCACCAGGGCCTTCCCCTCCACCAGGTGGGGCCGGGGCTTCGGGCTGGTGGAACAAGTGCTGGGTGCAGACAGCATCTTCAATCAATCCAACAGCATTTTCGGGTGCATCTTCTACTCGCTCCAGCTGTTGCTAGGTAACCGGCCCTGCCCGTCATGACAGCCCTTCCTGCGGCCCCATTCCTTGCCATCTTGGGGGCTCGTAGAGCTGACGGGGGAGGAACTAATAAGAGCCTTTCACTTGGCCTTGGGAGTGTCAGAGCCAGAAGGACCCTTAACCGCTTCCTAGGGCACCAGTTTTGTTGGAGAGACGGAGTTCTTTTCGGGGGGAATCTAAGGGCTGTGTGTCTTTCCTCTGTAGATGAGATTTCAGTAGGAAAATTCGCTATTTGTGTCCCAGGGATCACTGAATGGAGAGGAAAACCAAGGGGCCTCTTATTTTAGAGGTTTCCCCAGCAGCCCCTGCTGTCTGGTGGCGCCGAAGTTATGGCAGTTTCTAGAGGCGGCTTGTCCCCGAAGCCCATGTTTGACTTTTCTTCCTTGCAGGTTGCCTCCGGGGCCGCTGGGCATCCCTCCTGCAGTTGCTGAGTTCCCTGTTGTCTCTCGCTGGTTCTGTCTACCTGGCCTGGATCCTGTTCTTTGTGCTCTATGATTTCTGCATTGTTTGCATCACCACCTATGCCATCAACGTGGGCCTGATGGTGCTCAACTTCCGGGAGGTCCAGAGACCCCAGGGCAAGGTCAAGGGGCACTAAGCCCTCACTGACCTCATGCTCTGCTTTTGCGTCAGCCTTGCCAAAGGGGAGCACGTCTGGGTCCTAGAGGAGTCTGCAGCCCACCTCCACCATCCTCCCAGCACTGGACATGGACCGAGTGCGCCAAACTCTTCCTCCACCTAGTGCCTCTGGCTCTGCCCCAAGGATTGGTTTCCAAAGCTCCTGTCTTTGCCCAAGGAAGGAGGGTTCTGAGCAATAAAATGTCTTAAATTGGTTAAGTCTGAGCCACCTATCTGCCACGGGCCCTCGTTCTTGCCTCCTCCGGGACCGGGAGGATATGGGTCGGAGGGAGAGAGGAGCGTCTGCTTGGGAAGGGTGGCTAGTTCCTTCTCCAGCTTGTGGAGTCAGCAAGACTCCAAGGAACAGGCAGGCAGCCGCTGCTGCCCTCGGGAGCCAGCAGCCCTCCTGTGAGGGCCGGGCATGCACTTGCGGGAACAAGCTGCCCTCTGGTTCTGTGCATGTGTGCTGGGAAGTCCTTCTCAGTGCAACCCTAACCCTCTGGCTGCCCTGTCTACCCCTCAAGACAGTCTTGGCAGCTCGGAAGGGCCAGGGCCAGGTGTTTTTGGTTTCTTTTTCCTAGTATCACTGAGCACTTAACTGCATGCCACGCACTGTCTAAGAACATGACATGTGTTAACTCATTTAATCCTTATAGCAATTTGTATGAGATAGGTACTAATATTGTCCCAGTCTTGATGAGGAAACTGGAGGTACAGAGAAGCTAAGGAATGTGCCTGAGATGGCACAGCCAGTGTCTGGAGGGGGGTGGGAAGCCCTCGGGGTTTTAATCCACCAGGGCCAGCTGGCTGCAGCGTCTGAGTTGGGGTCAGGGTTCCTGAACCATCTGGGCTGGCAGGAGTTAGACGCCAGGAACAGGAAAAGAATGCACCAGGAATGTCCTTCCCTCCTGACGGAGTTTTCGACACCAGCGAGAAAGGTGCGCACGCCTGCACGCCCTGCCTGCTGGGCAGGTGGGGGCCCAGAGAGGTGTTGAGGTTTGCCAGGTCTCGGCTAGCAAGTAGCATAGCCCTGACCCCTGGACTGCCAGCCCCGAACTCACTGTATCCGAAGCAAGATGGGAGACGGTATGAGAAATCCACTTGGAAATGAAAAGTGAGAACGGGGAGGGCCTGTAATTACCGGAGAGAGCTTCTATGCCGGGAGAGGCTGCATCTGTGCCAGGCTTTGGCCTAAGTGGTTTTTTTGTTTTGTTTTTAAAGTATTTTATTATTGTGTGTGTGTTTTTTTCATTGTTTTTTAAATATATTTTATTGATTTTTTACAGAGAGGAAGAGAGAGGGATAGAGAGTTAGAAACATTGATGAGAGAGAATCATCGATCAGCTGCCTCTTGCACAATCCCCACTGGGGATGTGCCTGCAACCAAGGTACATGCCCCTGACCGGAATCGAACCCTTTCAGTCCTCAGGCTGACGCTCCATCCACTGAACCAAACCGGTTTAGGCAGGCCTAAGTGTTTTTAAATGAAAACTTTCTGCGTTTTTCGGACAAGGCACAGACCGGCTAAATGTCCAAGGTCACTCAAGTAGTCAGTGGGGTAACTGGCGTTTGAACTCAGTGTGTGAGTTCATGGCCACGGCCCAGAGAGGGGTGGCGAACAGCCCAGGGTCACACAGCCACAGCCCCAGGACCAGGAGCTCCTGGCTTCCTTCCAGCCCAGGAGAGCAGTGACACCTGTCTCCCAGCCAACGGGGCGGAGCAGAGGTGGAGCTAGCGAGACCCGGGTGCTTCTCCGAACCGCAGCACAGGCGGCAGAGTAGCCCGGAGCAGCATGAAGCAGAGCTGGGGACCAGGGCTGCTCATCCTGGGAGCCGTGGTCCTCATGGAGGGTGAGCCATCTGTGCTGGAGTGGGTGGGGAGGGGGGTGTGGGGGCTCTGCCCCAGCAGCCCTGCAGCTTGGTGTGTGTGAAGCCTGCCTGTGGGTGACAGTCCGCCTGCGGTGATACACCGTGTCTGGCTGTGTGTGGGGACGTCTGTGTGGCTGTGTGTCCAAATGGTGTGATATTCTTGGGCTGGAGCAGTCTGTCTGCAGGGCTGTCAGCGCCTGTGTGTGCCCCGTGCCCTGCCTGCCCCTATACTCCCAGCAAAGCCCCTTAGCCTCAGCCCCAGCCTTTCCTCCTGTCCCCTCCTGGCTCCGATGTGCAGTGGGTGTGTCTGTGTGAGCCCATTATGGGAAGAGGCAGGACCGGAGCCTCTTTGGTTGAGTCTGGCAGTTTCTGGAAAGGTGGGGAGTCTGAGTCGACAAAATGGGTGGACATGACGCAGCCTCTAATCCCTCCTCGGCCTCCGTGGCTGAGGGCACAATTAAGCTAATGCTCTCCACACACACAGGCTGCCTCCTGACTCAGTGGCGGGGGCAGGGGCTGGGGAGCTGAAGCGTGGAGGGCTGGCCGGGTCCCAAACTGAACCCCAGGCCCTGTTGCTTAGGCTGGAGTGCTGAGCTCAGCTGAAGGAGAGCTAATTGCTCAGTAGATGCTCTGAGTAGGTTCCAATAAAAGCTGTTCCCGGCCACATATAAATATTTTCTTTCTGGGAGGGGCTGGTGAGGTGGCCACCAAGTCATAGGCAAGGGCCCAGGGCCTACCCCCAGCCTGTGCCCTCCACCAAAGCTGGGCCAGGCAGGTAAGGCCTCCGAGTCTCACCTGTGTCTCTCTTCCCAGGTCTCCGAGCGGCTCAGCGTGGTAAGCCCTGGGGACCGGGGGCTTGGGCCTTACCTGGGTCTGGATGGACCTTGGGTGAGGACAGGATGGGCCTGCTCTCCTGACCCACCTCTGTCCACAGCCTGTGGGCAGCGTGGCCCTGGCCCCCCTGACCCTCAGGAGGGCAACACAGGGCCTGGCGAGTGGCCGTGGCAGGCCAGCGTGAGGAGGCAGGGGGTCCACGTGTGCAGTGGCTCCCTGGTGGCGGACAACTGGGTCCTCACTGCTGCCCACTGCTTTGAAAAGTGAGTTGTGGCTGGGGTCCACAGGGCTTCTGACTTTGGGGGTGGGTGATGTGTCCCCAGACTCACAGTGCTGATCCCTGCCCTTAGAAAAGCAAAGGACCGTTTACCGAGACTATGCTGTGTGCCAGGTACTTAGCACATTGCTCTTAACAGCCTTCATGGAGGAAGCCTTAAAAAAGAGAGTCAGGTTGGGAGAAGGAAAGACCTTGCTTAAAGCCAAGATGGTATTCGTCCGTTCGCCTACCTTGTTGTCTTCCATGGGCGCTGTGCCCCCTGGGCCTTGTCCTCTCTCTCCAGAGCGGCAGTGACAGAGCTGAGCTCCTGGTCCGTTGTTCTGGGCTCTCTGCAGCGTGAGGGGCTGAGCCCTGGGGCTGAGGAGGTCGGGGTGACGTCTCTGCAGCTTCCCAGGGCCTACAACCACTACAGCCAGGGCTCAGACCTGGCCCTGCTCCGGCTCGCTCACCCCACAGCCCACACACCCCTCTGCCTGCCCGGACCTGCCCATCGCTTCCCCTTTGGGGCCTCTTGCTGGGCCACAGGCTGGGATCAGGACATTAATGACGGTAAGTCTACCCCAGGCTGAAGTCCAAAGAGGCAGTCCACTTGCCCAAGGTCACACAACCTCAGCTGCCAACTGTCTGCTTCTGCTCTTCTGACCCACCTCTCTCCACAGAGCCCAGACTCCAACCCCAACCCCAACCCCTTCTTCCAGCTCCCAGGACCCTACGGAACCTGCGCCTGCGTCTAATCAGCCGCCCCACGTGTAACTGTCTCTACAACAGGCTGCACCAGCGGCTGCTGGCCAGCCCGGCCCGGCCCGGGATGCTGTGTGGGGGTGCCCAGCCCGGGGTGCAGGGGCCCTGCCAGGTCTGAAGGGGATGCGAGGGGAGGAAGCAGAGGGGAGGGGCCTGGCTTTGGGCTGGGTGCTGGATCTGTAAGGAGGGGTGGAAGGGCTGCAGAGGATGTCTGTCCAGGGCTGGGCTCAGGTGTCTGTCCTTGGCCCCATTGCCTGCTTCAGGGAGATTCTGGGGGCCCCATGCTGTGCCGTGAGCCCGATGGACACTGGGTTCAGGCTGGGATCATCAGCTTCACATCCAGCTGTGCCCAGGAAGACACTCCTGTGCTGCTGACGGACACGGCTGCCCACAGCTCCTGGCTGCAGGCTCACGCCGGGGGCGCAGCCTTCCTGGCCCAGAACCCGGAGGCCCAGCCAATCAGTGACGCGGACAGCTGTGTAGGTATGCGCGGAGGCCGAGTGTGGTGTGGGCACAGCCAGGCCTGTGTGAGGACTCCTGGGCAGCAGGTGGAAGCCACAGACAAATTTCAGCTCGCAATAGAGAACTGGTTCAGGGCATCCACTAACTGCCATATGCTAATCGGGGCTTTTAAGGGCCACCCTGAGTCCCTAGGATGGGAACAGCCCCCTTTAGGCTGCGATGTTTCAGAACGTTATGGGTTTGGAGTTTAGGTAAGAAGAGGGGCCTGGGGTCCAGCTGAAGGTTTGGGGCCTTGCTGCAAGTTTCCAAGCAAGGACCCAGTGAGATTGGACAGGGCGGGGCTCCCTCTCAGAATTCTGGCTTAAATGATTAACAGGCAAATTGCATGCAAAATAATTCCTGGGAAGGAAGCTATGTCTTAATGGTAAGAGAAGCCCTGGTGAGCCAGAATTCTGGAGCCAGCCCAAGCCCGGAGGGTGCAGACAGGTGGGGCTGAGGGACCATTAGCAGGCCACTCCCTTGAGGCCAAATCGTTGGTTAAAAGCTTAGGCCCTGGTTTTGGAATATCCGATCTGCTACTTCCCTGCAGTTACTGAGCTAGAAAGTCACTTCACCTCTTGGGAACTTTGGTTACAGGGGTAACAGAATTCTACTTGAAAGGTTGTTATGAGGGTTTGACGGTATGTGGGGAGCACTTTTCCAGAAGGCAGATGGGAATCCATGTTGCAGCTTGCGGATCCTTGAGGGGAGAAGGCCCCCAGGCAGAGGCGCCCTCCGCATGGCCCTGGGATGCCCGGCTGAAGCACCAGGGGAAGCTGGCCTGTGGCGGAGCCCTGGTGTCGGAGGAAGTGGTGCTGACGGCTGCCCACTGCTTCATTGGGTGAGCCTGTCTCCCTCCCTCTGTACCCGCTGCCCACCCCGCCGCCCAGTGCTGTCAGTGCTGTCTCTGCACAGGCGGCAGAGCCCAGAGGAGTGGAGCGTAAGGCTGGCCGCCGGACCAGAGGAGCACAGCCTAAAGCAGCTCATCCTGCATGGGGCTTACA